TCCTAACTAAATTAATAAATAAAAAAGGATAATTTAAAAAACATAACAAATAAGTAAACAAATAATAATGAAATAAGTAACTGAAATTAAATAAATAAAATTAAAAAAAGATAATTTAAAAAAGAGCGGATAATTCATATACTTTCACACATTCACCCCAATGTATACATACTCAATAAGTGTTTAAATCATGATTACAGATTAATTAAGTTTTGATACATGACCCATTTCCTTTCAAAATCATTAAACATAGCTTTTTTACAGTATTTAACTTTTTCTATCAAATAATATTATCTTAATTCTGATAATTTCTCCTACAAGTCGCATGCGCTCGATCTATAAAAATCGCTTAGATCTGTGTCCACCTCAGAGTGACCTCCCTTTGTCTGACTGACACCATATTGGTGATACTTGACCCTACCAGAAAGGAAACGGAACGGTTTTTCTCCTGAGAATCCAGTTGTAAACCCACGCGTATTTTTTCATCGTTTTTAGTGACTGCGATATATAGATGTATACTGACATTAACGCCAGCGTCTTCACTTGACGAATCCATCTCGCTGAGAATCTCGCGACATACGAGTTGTACACGACTAAAAAACTGCCTCAAAACCAAAGTCGTTACGTTCTTTACGCGAGTGAGTGAGTGAGTGAGAGTGAGAATAGTTTTACACCGCTTCTAGCAGCATTCCAGCAATGTCACGGCGGGGGACAACAGAAATGGGCTTCACATATTTTACCCATATTACTTCACATATTGTTGTTATAGGGGCTGTGGGGTAGCCTAGTGGTTAAAGCGTTGGCTCGTCACGCCGAAGACCCGGGTTCGAATCCCCACATGGGTACAATGTGTGAAGCCTATTTCTGGTGTTCCCCGCCGTGATGTTGCTGGAATATTGCTAAAAGCGGTGTAAAACCAAACTCAGTCAGTCAGTCTTTGTTGTTATATTCTAGCCACATAAAGAAACATGTGCACACAGAAAATTCATCACGGCGGGGGACACCAGAAATGGGCTTCACATTGTTAAAAAGATAATATTTTGTTACTGAAATAATAAATTATTATTATTGAACCAAATGTTCAAGTAATCCCACGAGTGATAACAGATGGAGCATTAATTTCAGAACCACCAGAGATTCAAATCACGGATCCTGGCACAGTAAGGGACGCAACTCCCGCTTAACGAGCGCGATCGGACAAAAATAATAGGTATACAAATTGATATGTTTTCAAAGCTGACAGTTACATTAATTTCACTCAAAGGGAATTTTCTGTGTGCACATGTTTCTTTATGTGGCTAGAATATAACAACAAAGACTGACTGACCCCGCACACAGAAAATATTTTCCCTTTGAGTGAAATTAATGTAACTGTCAGCTTTGAAAACATATCAATTTGTATACTTATTATTTTTGTCCGATCGCGCTCGTTAAGCGGGAGTTGCGTCCCTTACTGTGCCAGGATCCGTGATTTGAATCTCTGGTGGTTCTGAAATTAATGCTCCATCTGTTATCACTCGTGGGATTACTTGAACATTTGGTTCAATAATAATAATTTATTATTTCAGTAACAAAATATTATCTTTTAACAATGTAATATCAATCATAAAAAATACCATATCCCATTTCTGGTGTCCCCTTCACGCCGTGATGTTGCTGGAATATTGCTAAAAGCGGCGTAAAACCAAACTCAGTCAGTCAGTCAGTCAGTAAGTTACTAACAGCTCTGTTAAGAGTAATGTGGCTGACATCTGTTTTAATGAAATTGGTTGATATACGAAGAAGCAGAATGTTTAGGACCTGCACATTATTAGTTAAAAACAGTATCCAGGTTTTCGAAAAGTATTTTATGGAGATGATTATCCATTGCATATTGATACAAAAGGATAATCATACTGATTTGATACACCCGTGGGTTAGAACTGATCTTCAGTAACCTAAGAGGCGACTAACGGGATCGGGTGGTCAGGCTCGCTGACTTGGTTAGCACATGTATCCCAACTGCGTAAATCGATACCTATGCTGTTGATCACTGGACTCACTCACTCACTGATTTGATGGCATTGTACCAAATATCCATAGCATCATGAAAACCGGAATAGATAATATGGTGCCCCCACTGCCGTGTTCGCACGCATCTACTTGTCTCAGAAAATAGCTCCATATAGTTTCAGAATCAGAGAACAGAGTATGAAGTAGTGGACAAAGAGTTAAGAGCAATACTTTTATTCAGAGCAAACCAATACTTCTCACTCTAGTCATCACTATGTAAGGGTTCCATGATTACATGGATTGGATGGAGGCTCGCTGGCCTGATCGATGCGTCTAATCGTGTGCGATGCTCATGATGTCAATCACTAGATTTTCAGGTTCAAACTCGTTTTTTTCATAGACCACAGTGACAGTGACAATGACAATTTATTCAGTATGGAGGCCACATGGCCTAAAGTACAGTTAATATACAAGAATACAGTGCACAGCGGTGTACAATGTAGAAGAACAGCATTGAGTACTGTAGAGTTGATATACTCAGACTGGCAAGTTTCGTTTCAGGTAAATGCTTAAAGCTAGTATGTGATCCTCGTCAATTGATGTCAACAACTGATAATATTTAACACGTGATGGGTAAACATGATAGTAGGATGGAATAATCTTCTTGCGGCTTTCAGAATAATAGGGACAGACCACAGTTATACATCTGAAGAACTGGGTTGTTAAACAACAAATATAACGCCCGTCTTCAACATTTTACGAATGCTTTACCTGTTTTTCCCACTTTTCCTTGTGGGTGAATGTGAGTGAGTGAGTTTAGTTTTACGCCGCACTCAGCAATATTCCAGCTATATGGCTGCGGTCTGTAAATAATCGAGTCTGGACCAGACAATCCAGTGACCAACAGCATGAGCATCGATCTACGGACACGATAACATGTGTCAACCAGGCAATCGAGACTTGATTATTTACAGACCGCCGCCATATAGCTGAGAGCGGCGTAAAACAACAAGCACACAAAACAAACAAAACACGTCAACAAGTATATTAATGATACACATATTGTTTATTACGCATATATTTGTGACAACGTCATCTTTACAAGCACAAAAGAAATATAAATGTACAAATCCTCAATAAACTTGTACAATCAGACGCCTGCGCCCAGTGAACAGTTAATAACAAGTAGCCATATCGTGACTTCAGTGGGGCATTAACCCACAGGGGTAACATTGACCCAAACATATTTCGACAATTACTGCATGTGTCATATACGAGTACAATCGCATCGATGCTGCAAGTGTGTAAGTGAGTTAAGCAATATTCCAGCAATATCAAGGAGGGGAAAACCAGAAATGGGCTTCACACACTGTACCCATGTGGGTATCAAACCTGGGTCTTCGGTGTGACGAGCGGACGCTTTAACCGCTAGGCTACCCCACCGCCCCGATGCTGCTGCAAGAATATATTATCAGTTAGCTTCAGACACATTCTACGTAAATCTCTGTCATTATTTACACCTCAACCAATAAACTGTTATTGGCGAAACTCACGCACATATTCTGGTGAGCATCGTTTAGCGTCATCTGTCCATCCTCGTATGTCTAGGATTTTTATAAATATCCTATGAAAAAAACATGATTGCTCTATCGTTGAAACTGCGTACAAATTTAAACAAACATGTGGACAGAATGATCTTAGCGGTATAGGCCGTGAATGAATCAAAATGCTTGATCTTGATATTGAACTTGAGCAGAAAAGTTATTGTTCCACCGAAGAAAAGTCTCTTATAAACAATCTAGTTTTCTATGATTGCTCGTAACAGTGGACGTGGTGTTTGTCGGGCACTATACTTTAATGCGGTCAAGATGAAATGACACAAATAATCACAACACTGAACGCTAAACCCAAACTTGAGAAAACATCACAGTTATCCATCGTTTGTTTCATCCAGCAGGAGCTATATAGGTTTCAGTGCCCACCGAATTATAGCATCAATAAATCCTAAAATTTGTTTCCACACATTAAACACATGCGTACTATTTCCTGAGGGATTAAATCACATGCGCGTACTATTTCCTGAGGGATGAATAAGACACAATGGTACTCTATTTCCTAAGGCACGACAAGACAAAATGGTACTATTTGGAGTTGTCGCACATTAAACAGATGCGTACTATTTCCTAAGGCACGACAAAAAGAATATATTATTTGGAGATGTGTATATTATACAGATGTGTACAAGTACTATTTCCTGAAGGACGACGTGTTCGTCTTGTCAATTGCAAGACGGTGTTTTCTTAAACCATGCCGTGACAGACATTGATTGGCATTGATTGGCAGGCAGGGTGTATATACATAACTCCCATGGGACCTCTGTGTGAACGATCAAACATTCAATGTCGGAAATTGAAATCAATAAGTCACCATCAGTCGTCATTTTAGACAGGTCATATAGCACGGTATACTGGCGACTCATGCTCCAAAATACCATACACAGTAAGAAGAAATATTTGCTACAACAAATTTACAGACAATGTTTTATAGGTATTACTCATTTCTGTTTTTGTTTGGTGGGTTGGTTGTTAGAAAACCGCACTTAGCAATATTCCAGCTATGTGCCGGCGGTCTGTATATAATCGAGTCTGGACATGACAATCCAGTGATCGACCCGGATGTTCACGGGTACACTCCATGGACCCCCAGACCTGTGAAGATCAGGGTTAGAATTGATCTTCAGTAACCCATGCTTGTCGTAAGTGGCGACTAACGGGAGCGGGTGGTCAGGCTCGCTGACTGGGTTGACACATGCGTAGATCGATGTTCATGCTGTTGATCCCTGGATTGTCTGGTCCAGACTCGATTATATGCAGACCGCCGCCATATAGCTGGAATATTGTCGCGTGCGGCGTAAAAAGTAAACTCACCAATGGTCTCCCAAGACAGGAGATCACGTGACTGAGATGTTCCCTCGTTTGATTTTGAGATATAAAACGCAAACTAGCATGTGCGAAAGGAAAGTTATATAATTTTCAGGAGGAATAACGAAACACTGTTATAAGTGTTTCAAACGCTGGACAATTCTTTCTCAATTTTCAATTAGCTGCAAAGAGTATAAAATTATTGCATCTATTTTCTCCTTCTCCCACCAATGATTAAACATTTAAAGACTGACCATAAATTCTGACGAGAACTGAGTTGGTTTTGTAGTTTTACGCCTCTATTAGCAATATTCCAGCGATATCACGACGGGGGGCACCAGAAATGGGCTTCCCACATTGTACACATGTGGGGAATCGAACTTTGGTCTTTGGCGTGACGAGCGAACGCTTTAACCACTAGGCTATCCCACAGTCCCAATTTGACGAATAATCTTCATAACCACAAGTAGTATATGAATTGTTTTTCCATAATAGAAAACGTCGGAGTTTTTCGAGTCCAAGATCAATGTAAACGTGGACGTAGATGGACCAGGATGCAGTTACAGGTTGGTACCTGTCAATGTGTTAGTTGATCCGCGATACCGGGACCTAGATACGCTGGATGAGGAGGTCGAGGTGGTGAAGAGTGACCCCGACCTTAACATTTTACGCTTGAAGAGAGAAATCAGCTCTGACCGGAACCTTTTCCCGCTGATTGTGTAGGTCACGAAGTTCATAGAGTTGTTCAAATACATTAGAAGATTTGCGCATGCGAACATCAGTTGGCGCTGTGCTTTAGCTTCCGGTGACGTGTCTTTTTCCCAGTATGTCGTGTAGATGAGATAGATAGAAATGGGCAGCGTGCAGACGAGATAGACCAGATTGAGGCTCAGCAACATGGTCGTCATAGACGAGACTTGGCGCCGTCTTTCTGTTGCCTGCTCGGTCGTCGCCATGTTTAGTCGGGTAATGGTGCGCATGCCAGCTAGCAGGCGCGTTATGATGAGAGCGTTACCGACTAAATGAAATGCTAAGGGCGCCAGGCAGAAGAAACACAGGTCCACCCATGGAAAGATGTAATCCAAAAACCTGGCATAATCCCTTGACTGGTTTGCGCATTGGTACACCACTCCTTCGTAAACTATTAGACCCCTTCCAAACAGGAAATGTCCATTCACCGACATGAGAATGATGACAAGCACCAGAATATTTACTGCAAGAACCTTTTTGGTACATATAACTTTCACCTTGTGGGGCAGCCAAACCGAAACGGCGCGCTCCACCGTCACGGAAACAAGAATCCAAGCAGAAAGGTCAAGGCTGAAGTACAGCATCCACGTGACGACCTTGCAGATCAGCGGGTGGAGTTCCCGGATGTCGGTGTTGAAGGTGTAGATGATCCACTGCCTCAAAAGACCTGAATATAGAGCCAACAGGTCAGCCACGGCCAGACAGGTCAAGTAGATGGACATACTAGACTTTCGCATCGCCTGCCTGGTCAACACAATCATAGATAGGATGTTACCGGCCGTGCCGAATATAAGTAGAATCGGCGACAATATTTGCCACATAAGTTTCGCTGAGGCTTCTTGTGGCAGAATTATGTTAGTGGTTGAATTTGGGGTTGTGTTGGTAGAATTCATTCTTGATTCTTGGATAGTGGCAAACAAACTACAAAATATTTACTCACGATGTCACGATGAGGCTTATGTCCAGTTATGGGGAATGGGTTTGTGGGATGGAACTTAATAATTGTCGATTGATGATATCAATGTCCAGGTCCTACAATGTTATTTATGAAGAAACTGAGTTAACACAGATATATGTTGTTCAGATGCCATAAGATGATATCACTTTGAACATCGGTGATATCATTCATCCAGAAGGAACACAGTTGATAACGCTCATCCAGAAGGAACTCAGTTGATAACGCTCACCCAGAAGGAATTCAGTTGATAACGCTCACCCAGAAGGAACTCAGTTGATAACGCTCACCCAGAAGGAACTCAGTTGATAACGCTCACCCAGAAGGAACTCAGTTGATAACGCTCACCCAGAAGGAACTCAGTTGATAACGCTCATCCAGAAGGAACTCAGTTGATAACGTCCAGAAGGAACTCAGTTGATAACGCTCACCCAGAAGGAACTCTTATGATAACACTTATCCGCATTTATCTGAAATGATAACACTCTTGTACATGGAGCTCTGACTGAGTTTACTGTTGAAATCCACACCAATCTTCAACTTACTCAACGTATATCTGTCATCCAAAACAACAGTTTCTTCACGAAGTTTACACCATCCACTTGCAATGTACTCTCGCCAAAGTCAAAACAACAAGGCAACACTTTAAATGTGGAACTGGTGACGTTTTCCTCACGACAGGTTCAAATGTGTATTACTCGCCCAGATACGTCTGTTGATGAGACCGATGAGAACATACAGTTGTCCACAATGAACAGGGTGAACAATGCTTGTCTCGATCCGACACACCGCCTGTCACTGGGCACGTGTATTGATTTTATGTACTGATTGTGTCGTGATATTGACACGCTATCGAACGCCACGGCCCGATTCATATGGTCGTTGAATTCTTTTTTATCGATTTTTATCTCTTTTTCTGAAATAAAAGATCACAAGTCTTACAATACTGTTCAACAAAATCTGAAAATCTGATTTTACTTTAAAGCCAAAAATATTTTCTGATTTAAAATATCATAAGCTTTTCTACAGACATTGAAAATATAGCGTCAGTTAAACGGTTTCGAATTTTTAAGACGTCATAAAGGTAGGCAACATTTAAAATTAAAAACAACAACATATTTTTCCTTTGCTGTTTGGAAATAGTTTTTGAAAATGGGATTATGATACCATGGGATACCAAGACGTCATAAAGGTAGGCAACATTTAAAATATTAAAAAACAACAACATATTTTTCCTTTGCTGTTTGGAAATAGTTTTTGAAAATAGGATTATGATACCATGGGATGAAAATATATCATGTCATGATTGTCAGCACTCACCTGTGAAAAACAGTTGTTTTGAAATCCACACTCGGTGCCAATTTCATTCCATAATAATGAAAGAACAAATCATGTGTTTATATCACTTTGTGACAAACGTATCGGGAATTGCCACAAAAGAATATATCACAAACATGGCAGAGGTTATATCACCACCAATTCCACGAACTGAACAGTCATCGTTATCTGTGTATTCTGTAATCTGCTGGAATATCACCATGTCCGTTGTAGTGAAGTGTGAAAGGTTTGTGAAGCTATCAAAATAGTGGTAAGAGCAGCGACCAATCAAAGCGCGTTTAGTCCGCGGACTGTAACCGATCACAAACTGGTACGTGAGCAGAACGTGTAGTCCGTGCAGCACGTGTTACACGCACCCAACTTAGTGTTGGTACTGACACTTCGTGGAGGCAGGTGGCCGTGCTTTACTTCCGTAAACACTTGGGGCACAGATTGGCTGATGTTTGTCCACTCTTCAATTGTTTTAGGGATTGTGCATTTCATGATGTCATTTTGATGAATTTGTTGACTGAACAGGCTTTGCGAATAATCCGTTACAGCCGAATAAATGAAAGTGAAACGCCGCTTCTGTTGGCGTCATGCCAAAAGACTTAACTCGATGGTACTTGCCTGGCGCTGAGGAACGAGTGAGTAAGTGAGTTTAGTTTTACACTGCTTTTAGCAGTATTCCAGCATTATCACAGCTTGGGTACTTATTGCTTTGGTACCCTCGGCAGAACATAGGTGATTCATCATTGCGTCCAAGTACAAAAACCCATTCAACTCGTGCAGATCCGGGTTAGAATCTTCAGCAACCCATGCTTGTCGTAAGAGACGACTAACGGGATCGAGTGGTCAGGCTTGCTGACTTGGTTGACACGTGTCATCGTATGCTCATGCTGCTGTGCACTGGATTGTCTGGTCCAGACTCGATTATTTACAAACTGCCGACATATAGCTGTAATATTGCTGAGTGCGGCCGGCGTAAAACTAAACTCATTCACTCACTCATTCACACACTCACAAAACCCATTCAATGATCATACGGAACTCTCAGCCAAAAGGCGAGTCCAATTCCCACTCTATCATAAGCATGAATCACTACTGACAAACTGTGGCACCAGATGTTCGGGGCAAATCGTCACAGTACTAGACTTGCCGCTGGGTGCTGTGGCACGTGTCTGCAAGTAATGTGTTGTGTTTGAACTCGAGTTATTATTTCCTGCACACCTGTATCGGACTTTATTTGCACTAATAAACTACACGAGCCAGGAAAAGAAAGCGTACATTGTTAAAATTATTTTTAAATTTGAAAATATTGAACAATGAAAAGTTTATAAACTTTGATGGGTGGATGTTTAGAAGTTGACAGAACAGAATGTCTAATTATTTGGATAACGTCTGAACGGTGCTGAAATGTGTTTCGGGGGCAATGGAAACGCACCCCCACCTGACGTTGAGATGTTCCCCATGGACCATCCCGTTAGCCTCATGACGTTCTGCAGTCGTGGCATGACGTGCGACCCTTTAGCCGTTAAATATTTTAAACAATCAAACTTTAAACAAACACACTTCCCAAATCGACAGCAATTTTTGATATTCATATGCCCCATGCATTTGTCGAGATGCACATGCACAAAACTGTTGCTAGTGCCCACTGACATCACGAAACGTAGCAGACATGTGCCCAATTGAATTAACTAATTACTGTGTTTACATCAGCTGTGTGCACATGTAGTTTAAATATATATTTTGATTTCCTCTGTCTACAGTTTCTTTTTGCTGTTAGTACACGTTGGTTGTTTGGGCCTGTTCAGTCAATTAAACAACACCGTAGGAGGAACTAAACTCTGAGGTAGAAGTGCCCTGTAATGATTACCTGTGAACATCTTGCACAAAACAAGCTAGCTATTAGTGTACCCTGTTCGTGTACGGGCGCTGGGAAAAGACCTTCAAGCAATCTAACTCCTCCTGGACTTGAATGAGGCCCTAAACCTCAACGATAGGCAAAGCATCGTGGGACAACTTGTTTCTGCAGATCCTGTACAGGGTTTCAGCCTGTGTATTATACTTCGGGTGGGTTACAGTATGGTAGATGGGGCGGTGGGGTAGCCTAGTGGTGAAAGCGTTTGTTCGTCACGCCGAAGACCCGGGTTCGATTCCCCACATGGGTACAATGTGTGAAGCCCATATCTGGTGTCCCCCGCCGTGATGTTGCTGGAATATTGCTAAAAGCGGCGTAAAACCCAACTCACTCATTTACTCACGTATGGTAGATATCGTATGTTGAGGAACAAACTGGCAGCGTGGAAGCTCGGGAGTGTAATAACCACTCAAGTATCACGCATTTGCAGAAAATCACGCATGTCCATCGAACCATATTCTTTTGTTGAAATGAATTCTTGCAATTATGGATGTAGCAGCAGCCGTGGTGGTGGTGGTAATAATAGTTGTAGTTGTGGAAGCATCTGTAACCGTGATGATAGTAATATCAGTATCGTAATTGTAGTCGTGGAAGCAGCAAAAACCGTGGTGATGGTAGTAATAGTAGTAGTTGTAGTCGTGGAAGCAGCTATAACCGTGGTGATGGTAGTAATATTAGTAGATGTAGTCGTGGAAGCAGCTGTAACCGTGATGATGGTAATATCAGTAGTAGTTGTAGTCGTGGAAGCAGCAGTAACCGTGATGATGGTAATATCAGTAGTAGTTGTAGTCGTGGAAGCAGCTATAACCGTGGTGATGGTAATATTAGTAGGTAATATCAGTAGTAGTTGTAGTCGTGGAAGCAGCAGTAACCGTGATGATGGTAATATCAGTAGTAGTTGTAGTCGTGGAAGCAGCTATAACCGTGGTGATGGTAGTAATAGTAGTAGATGTAGTCGTGGAAGCAGCTGTAATCGTGATGATGGTAGTAATAGTAGTAGATGTAGTCGTGGAAGCAGCTGTAATCGTGATGATGGTAATATCAGTAGTAGTTGTAGTCGTGGAAGCAGCAGTAACCGTGATGATGGTAATATCAGTAGTAGTTGTAGTCGTGGAAGCAGCAGTAACCGTGATGATGGTAATATCAGTAGTAGTTGTAGTCGTGGAAGCAGCTATAACCGTGATGATGGTAATATCAGTAGTAGTTGTAGTCGTGGAAGCAGCTATAACCGTGGTGATGGTAGTAATAGTAGTAGATGTAGTCGTGGAAGCAGCTGTAATCGTGATGATGGTAATATCAGTAGTAGTTGTAGTCGTGGAAGCAGCTGTAACCGTGGTGATGGTAGTAATAGTAGTAGTTGTAGTCGTGGAAGCAGCAGTAACCGTGATGATGGTAATATCAGTAGTAGTTGTAGTCGTGGAAGCAGCAGTAACCGTGATGATGGTAATATCAGTAGTAGTTGTAGTCGTGGAAGCAGCAGTAACCGTGGTGATGGTAATATCAGTAGTAGTTGTAGTCATGGAAGCAGCTGTAACCGTGATGATGGTAATATCAGTAGTAGTTGTAGTCGTGGAAGCAGCTGTAACCGTGATGATGGTAATATCAGTAGTAGTTGTAGTCGTGGAAGCAGCTGTAACCGTGATGATGGTAATATCAGTAGTAGTTGTAGTCGTGGAAGCAGCTATAACCGTGATGATGGTAATATCAGTAGTAGTTGTAGTCGTGGAAGCAGCAGTAACCGTGATGATGGTAATATCAGTAGTAGTTGTAGTCGTGGAAGCAGCAGTAACCGTGATGATGGTAATATCAGTAGTAGTTGTAGTCGTGGAAGCAGCTGTAACCGTGATGATGGTAATATCAGTAGTAGTTGTAGTCGTGGAAGCAGCTGTAACCGTGATGATGGTAATATCAGTAGTAGTTGTAGTCGTGGAAGCAGCTGTAACCGTGATGATGGTAATATCAGTAGTAGTTGTAGTCGTGGAAGCAGCAGTAACCGTGATGATGGTAATATCAGTAGTAGTTGTAGTCGTGGAAGCAGCAGTAACCGTGATGATGGTAATATCAGTAGTAGTTGTAGTCGTGGAAGCAGCAGTAACCGTGATGATGGTAATATCAGTAGTAGTTGTAGTCGTGGAAGCAGCAGTAACCGTGATGATGGTAATATCAGTAGTAGTTGTAGTCGTGGAAGCAGCTGTAACCGTGATGATGGTAATATCAGTAGTAGTTGTAGTCGTGGAAGCAGCTGTAACCGTGATGATGGTAATATCAGTAGTAGTTGTAGTCGTGGAAGCAGCAGTAACCGTGATGATGGTAATATCAGTAGTAGTTGTAGTCGTGGAAGCAGCTGTAACCGTGATGATGGTAATATCAGTAGTAGTTGTAGTCGTGGAAGCAGCAGTAACCGTGGTGATGGTAATATTGCCTTGTTATACGTTCTCCCATTTACTAACCGCATATCACTTTCTACATGTTGTGACTGATCTCAAATGAAGTCTAGTATGTAGTAGTGTTGGGAATTGGTTAAAGTCTTATAATTGATGATTGGTTCATTACAACCGATCAATCATCGAAAATAATTGGTTAGCGTCATGTATGAAATTTTCCTGGTTATTTTTCTAAATAAAGAAAAAACATGTAGTTCTTTGGTGTGTTTTTTGATAATTGCACAAAATGCATTTGTAAATTTCACATCTTTAAAGGATGACTAGTATGTTAGGAACATAAATTTCTTGAAGTCTTTAAGATAAATTCAATCATGACATGGAACGAGCTTGTAAATTTCACATCTTTAAAGTGATTATGAAATGTCAATTTAATGACAGACAAAACCAGCCTTGTGAAAAATATTATTAATGCAAACAAATGTTCCAGAATTGTTTGTGTTCGATTATGAGAAAACATGATCGATTGCTTGGTCGTTTAATCACTGCGACCAATCTTCGATTATTTCAATTAATCGGACCACCACTAGTATATAGTAATCTTTGTATTTTGGATATCATTGTACATTCTCGATATTTGAAACCCTTCCTTTTTTAAGTTTTTGATGATAAAAGCTCCACGACCCACTGGGGTATTATTACCGTGAATATATCTTATGATATTTTGTATATGTTTCGCGTAATATTCTTTACAAAGGAAATCCATACATGTACAAGCCTCTGTGCTTAGAGTATCTTGTTTACTTCATCCCTTGTCAAGCGCAGCAGCAGCCAATTGTCAAACGCGTTCACGCCAACCTTAAAGTAATTCATCAAAGACAAAGTCAGCGATCTGTGTTGGCATCGACCTGTCTTCTCTTGCACATTCTATGGTCAAGAGTGGATACATATTCCCTCCCCAGCAGGCACCTATTTAACCATCGACCAAGGATTAATTAAAAATCAACCTTCCTTAAATAATATTGATACTACCACCTTGCCTCCCCTTCCTCGGAATTGTACAATGACAATAGCAACATCGCCATTGAAACACATTTACAGTAGTCAAAACACTCATCAATAATATAACTTGCTTTGACTTTCAGTAAAACTTAGCTGTATCTTTCTTTATTTGATGGTATTGGAGATAGTGGTGGTGGTGGCGGTGGTGGTGGTGGTAGTGGTGTGGTGGTAATTGGTGGTGGTGGTAGTGGTAGTGGTAGTGGTGGTGGTGGTAGTGGTAGTGGTGGTGGTGGTAGTGGTAGTGGTGGTAGTAGTGGGTAGTGACAGGGCTGGTAGTGGTGATGGTGGTGGTGGTAGTGGTAGTTGTAGTGGTAGTGGTGGTGGTGGTGGTGGTGATGGTGGTGGTCGTGGTGGTAGTGGTGTGTGGTGGTGGTGGTGGCGGTGGTAGTGGTAGTGGTTGGTAGTAGTGGTAGTGGTGGTGGTGGTAGTGGTGATGGTGGTG